CATTTACCTCCTCCTTGTCGTTTTTCTTGGAGAAGATCAGCACGCTGCAGTCTTTGCAGATAAAGCAGACGTGCTGGAAGCCCAAATAAACAGCCACAGGCAGGAAGCGGCGTCGGGGAGCGTGCAAAGTGACTAAGCATATTTAGAAAGCACTTAAACCCGGGTAAAACATCCCCGAAGTTTAAATTGTTTAAGAGGCTGTCGGCCATCGATCGCTTCCTCGTGGCCGCGAGGGCAGGGGAAACTTCACAGTTTGAGGCACTTTACTAAATAACCCCGAAGATCCCGTTAATTGGCTTTGCACAGTTCTTGGCTGAAATTAATTTTAGCCTAGCTCACAATAAAAGGATTAAAAGACAAATTAAGTTCTCCGGGTTTAACTGGAATAGGAATCAATGGGGCTGCATAAGTAGCCCCACCAGGTACCGTGTATCTGCGGAGCGCAGGAATCCCGACAGGCAGGGGCAGCATTCCCAACCCCGGGAATGCTCGTCCCGACGGATACGTGGACGGATCACACACGTGTGCGGATGCGGGACCAGAAATGGGTGGGAAAAAGCACCAAAGCACAAGGACCTAAACAAGTCCCAGGATTTAAGGGGAACAGAGGAGCGAAACTGCATGAATGAGGGAGAGATCCAGAGCCTGCATCCGAACGTGGGGCCTCTGGGATACAGGAAAACGGATCCACCCCAGCGCTCTCCATTTGCATCCCGGCTCCAATTCCACAGAGCTGTCTGGAGACTGAAGCCATCCCCCTGCTTTTGCAGATTTCTGGATTTTAAAACCACGTGCAGAAAAACCAGGTAAACATTTCAGTGCTCCTGGAAGCTTGCAAAGCAGGAATAAAATCAGAAGTGAGGATACTCTGCAGCAACAACAACAAACAAAGTGCTGGTGTGCGGACGGTGGCGGAGAGATGGACCAATCCATCCCGCGCGGACGCGCCGCTCCGGCAGCGCCGACCATTCCTGCAGCAGCAGCTCCCTCCTCCGGCTCAGCACGGAGCAGCCCCGGCCACGGCTGGGTTATTCCCAACAGGGAAAAGTTGGGAACTAATTGCCCTGGAAAATCCAGCCTGGGACGCCAGAGAGCAGCGGACCCTTGCCGAGAAGGGCAGGGGAGGTGACACAGGAGGGTCCAGCCGTGCCAAACAACTACGGGGCAGCAGCTGGACAGGGAAGAAGAAACCATTGCAGCAGCTTGCTAGGAATCAAAGGAGCCACTGCACACAGGGACCCTCAGCTGCTGCGGCGTAAATCGAGGACTCGGTATCCTAGACGTGGAGGAAAAGCACTTGATAATCCCTCAGAGAAGGCAGGTGAGAGCTGGCCGTTCCACTGCCCGTGATCGTGCTCTTCACCAAACCAGCATCTGCTTCTTTTGGGGTCAAAAGCCCCTGTCACCACATCGGGAAGAGCGAGGATATTAAGAGACATAAGAGAGGTATTAGAGAGGATTTAGGGACACGAGATTCCTTCTGAGATGAGTGGAAGGGGATTGCGCTGCAGAGATAAGGAGGTTTTACACGCAGGGAGCCACGTGCCCAAGGAAGCGGCGGCTCCGCTCGGGATAAGGGCCACGACACCTTTCAGGACCATCACTGCTGTCTCTCTAGCAGCCAACCCTCTAGAACAAGGCTGAAAGGACACGAGGAAGAGGCTCCAGAAGCGCCTACGTGAAACACACACTGTGTTTTCCCAAAACAACCAGCTCGGCTGTTCCACCCTGGCAGACACCCCTATTTTAGCTGTGCAATCTCTTCATGCCATTCACTCTAATGGTAACTACACCTTAACAACAGCTTCTCGTGCACAGCCTTGGGTTTCACAGCCTGCGCTTGGTTGTGCACTCCCAGACCTAAAAGGGAGTGTTGAAGTAACACGGCAAATCCTGTTCTGCTTTGGTTCCCTAACGGAGAAGTGAAACCTAAATAGAATGGGAAGAAACCGAGGAAATGAGGAGTCTCAATAATGCTTAAAAAATTGCATTTTAGTACTCTTTGAAAATAATTTGTCTTTTTAAAACCACACTTGTGGCTTTCCTCATACTCGTGAGGAAATTATTCTCAATAATCATTTAGGAAGATTCTCACGCTCAATAGCAAAATCTTTAAATGGGTTAAGAAAGCAGCGCCCTGAAGTGTTTCTGCCTGATGTCAGCGAGAAGAGATGGGGAGCAGAAAAGGCCGTAAATGTTTTTTTTTCCTCAGGAAAACAGAACTGTCATTTTCCAGTTAATCCAGCCCAGTTCTAACCAATTCCTCGCCCTCAGGTCAGGAGATTTATGACCACAAAGGGGAAGGAATGCTGAGCCAAAGCTGCACAAGCAAAATATTCTTCTGGTTTTGAAGATGGAAACCAATTTCCTAAACAACTCCTGCTTAGGTGCTTTTAAATGCTATTTAAATGCTATAAGAATTACTGAAGTATTTGCCCGAAACTGGCTTCAGTGTTTTTCAGCCAGCTAAGCTAAAATCCTTTAATCTCTCAAAGGACTGATGTGATCCTTTTAAAAAAATTATTTGGATAAATGAAAGCGAATCTCAGGTTTAACTGAAAACAAATCCTGTTGAGCACTGCACAAAGCATTACTGCATGCAGTCAGTCAGGAAATACGAGGTTTAAAAGTACTGCTGGAGAAAGAAGCTGCACCACGATTTAGACCTCACCTTGTCACGTTGAAGATAGCTCAATTAAAACCTGTTTTTTTTGGGGGGTATTCCAGATTTTAGCTATCGAACAGCTTTCTGAAAACCTCAAAACTCAGGAGTCCAGCACATAGCAAAGGATGCAAATAATTTGGAGCCTAGTCCAATCAGAACTGGCAGCTGCGGGCAGAGCGCGGTGCCACGAGAGCAAAGCGGTGTCACTCCGGATCCGCGCTCCGCTTTCCCGGCCACGTACCTGCGGCGATGTCGTCGTCCGGCAGCTCGTGCTCGTCCTCCTGCGCCTTGGCCTCGGCTCCGGCCGCGGGGGGGCTGCCGCTGGGGCCCTGCAGCGCGTCCGCGGGCACGCCGGCTGCACGGGGAGCACCAAAGGGAGGGAAACACACTCAATCTGCGGGTAATCCCACTACCAGGCCAAGGGAAGGAATGTGTGTTCCCAAAGGGAAGGGCTTTCTTGTGTAACTCAGCAAGAACGCCCAAGAAATAGGTTTGAGAAATGAAAAGGACGTTAGAAAACCAAACGAAAGCACTACGGTATCCTGAAAACAAGCAAATCTACTGCAAAATTAAGACCTATTAGAACCTTGCAGCACTAGCATAATTTACTCCCTTCTGTAGCAACTACTTGTTCATTTAATGCACTAAAACCCTGCAGTGCAAAATTGAGCTGCTGCTTTGCACTCTTTTAACTCAAACCTTCCAAGAGTGAGAGCAACCCCATGTATAACTAGCCGACCCTTTGGGTCCAGTGAAACGGTCCGTGCTCAGTGAGAACTGCTTGAATCCATGCTAGTTTAATTAAAGCCTGCTTGATTGAGTAAAACTCGAAGAAAACAGAGATGGATGCATCTACCTGAAATATATTACTAAAAACGACAACAAAACCACTGTCACAGACTGCTCTCATCTACCACTGCAGGTTCACTTGGTCTGTTCACTCTTGATGCAACCAGGTATCTTCGATGCACAAAAACATGATCAGTAACTGCATATCGGATTTGGAGAAGAAAAATAAAATATTATATTGCATATCCCTGACTAGTGCTGCAAGATATAGGTACATACATATACTTGTGTGTAACAGTTAAAATTACACAAGACTCTTTGCTCTGAGTCATGTTAAAATTGGTTAAAACCAATTTTGCCCATGACTCGCTTGCTTCAAACATGGCAAATCGCTTCAAAATCTAAGTGCTTTTCCAAGCTTTCAGGATAAGCATTAAAATATATATATATATATTTTCCCTGTATCATTCCATCTTCAGCGGGGACATTAATGGACAGCATTTTACTGAAGAGGACAGGACTGTATTAAAGATCACCGCAGTTCGACTCGCACTGAAGCTCTGTTCACCTCAATGCTTCAAGTTGCATTTTAAAATTCGACTTCTTCAAACCCCACCCTTCAGCTAACAAAAGGGAAAATAGCTGAGAATATACCGAACAACTATTAAGGAAAAGGGTACTTTACAGCTAAATTCAAATATTGTTGCAGAAAGGTATAGTCTGAAATGGCCAAAGCAAGGGTGACCTTCTCGGCCTTCCTGCTGTGGGGCAGCAAGGAGAGGAGCTGCGGAAGGGCCCCGGAGCTGCGGAAGGGCCCTGGAGCATCCCGGAGCACCCCGGGCAGGCGAGGGAGCACTCACGGGAGATGAGGCTGTCCATGTAGTGCGGCAGGTAGGGCGCCCACGCGTCGATGGTCTCCTTGCGGCCCGCCTGCTCGATGCGCCGAGGTCCGGCAGCATGACGCAGTGCATGGCGGCCAGCTGGCTCCAGCCTGCGGAGACAGCGCCCCGGGATCATCGGGAATGCCCGCCGGGAGCGTCGCAACCCCCCGGACACCCGAGCTGTGCACCTGGATTTGGAGGGTGCAGGCCTAGGAACGTGCTCAACTCGCTCACTACATATACAAAGGGTCCCTAATCCCAGCCATGATCCTTCTTCTGTTAAAGGGATAAGCCACGGCCCTCGGTTCCAAATTACTTTAGGTGACCTGTTCCGACAGTGATTAACACTACTTAGCATCACCTGTGATGTACTCCTTGCAAGTGTGAGATAATCCAGTCACAGAAACCCAATATATGAATTAGCAACAGAAAAACTGTATAAAATTTTTAAGATCAATTTCAAAAGTTATGCAAGAGCACCCAAGCACATTTACTCGCTGTCCTTATCTCTCCACGGAAATCTTCCTTCAGGTATAATCGAACCATAACCCTGAAATACTAGGCATTTAGGACAGAAAAGCATACCGAGTCCAATCAACATGGCTTTTTAAATCCTTGTAACATATTCTAGACAAAAAATAAGTATATTTTATTATTATCCTCACATATCCTGGCATTATTATGTCAC